GGGAAGGGGATGCTCGGGGAGGGGACGATGGCACCGGCCGAGTCTGGGGACTGCCAGGCCCTGGCGAGGGGAGCTGTGAGCAGGGCATTCACAGCTAGCGTGGGCAGAACTGAAAGGCCCCTTCCCAGCCCTGCCAGGCTGGGCTGCACTTCTTGGAGGGGATTGCCTCATCTGTTTCTGGGGCTTTTTTGTTGTTGTCTCCTTTTATTTTTATTTTAAGCAATGTATGAATAATCAAGGTTTGCATTCTTATCAGATGAGCTAAAAAAGTATTTCTCCCAGTATTACTGCAGAGTTTTCTTAACGCTAAAAGCAGAACTCGGTCTGTATCGGTCAAACAGAGAAAGAGAGTCTGTCCCGCCTTGCCTGGTGTCTGTCCCGCCTTGCCTGCTGTCTGTCCCGCCTTGCCTGGCATCTCCTGGGTGCTTGGTTTGTGTTCACTGTTGCTTTCTGACCAGGGACACGGGGCTCCATGGGTGGCGTGGGCCTGCTGTTAATGACAGTAGGAAAACCGTCCTAATACAGCAAGAAAAGGCAGTTATAAATACAAATTAAATATCATCCGGGCTAAGCAGCGCTGGGATGGTTGGGCAGTGCCCTTCCCTCTGCGCGGCAGAGATGTGCCGGGGGTTCCCTTGGCATTCGGCGCGTGGCCAGAGGGCGAAAGGAGGGCTGGAGACGGATCCTGGGATCTGGCACGGGCGGAGTGGAGGGATGGGGGTGTATGAACAGAAAACGAAGTTGATTTCTGCCTCTTACTGCATCTCTGAGCCTGTTTGTGCTGCCTCCTGTCCCGCGTGCAGGTGGCCAGGCAGTTATCCTGTGAGACACGGAGCGTGAGCAATGCCTGTCCGTGCCCCTTCGTCAGGAACATAATGCTGCTGATTTCCTCCTCCGCTCCACAGACCCTGGTTCCAGTGAAACCTGCTATTACGATGTTACTCTCTGACCCATGAGTAGGTGAAACCCGTAATTTTCCTCCCTGGGGCATGTTCACACTGTCACGATTCCTGTGATGAGCCCAGCTGCGATTTACTGTTCCCGAGAGAGAGGAGATCTCTTTGTTGAGATGATTTTCCAAGGGGATCTCTGCAGGAAAGCCTGGACATCCACAGCCCAGACCATCCCAGTGAGCCCAGTGCCTGCGTCTGCCGGCCCTGCCAACGGGCACGTCTGAGGGTGCAGCAGCTGGCGTTGGGGAGACGCTGGGTGGGCGTACAAACCGCCCGGTCCCTCTTGTCTCAGGCCAGAATAGCCCAGGCCGTTCGGAGGACGGGAAGGCGAGGGCAGCTCGTGTCTTGTGTCCCGTGTAGCTGTATCTGAAGGTCAAGGGGAACTGCTTATCGGCACCGAGCCTTTTCACGAGACCGGAGTTGCTCCTAGCGCTTCACGAGTCGTGCTGTGAGCTCCTGGAGGTGCTTTTGCAAAGCCATCCAGTCTTGGGTTGGTCGTGCAGCCTCAGCGAAGGCCATGCTATTAATCAGGGTTTTTTCCGAGAGGTGGGGGGTTTGGGCTTGGTCTTGGTTTCTTTACCATGCCAAGCTGATCTTCAGTCTGTCAGAACGGCCCGATTGAAAAGGCAGTGCAGGAGGAAGTTGCCTTGGCGTCGACGAGGAAGGGTGGTGTTGGTTGGCGTGATTGCTGTGAGACACACGTGACTTTGCGTGAATATACATTTCTTAAATCTTTACTTTCTCAATTGCTCCTCTTGATGTGTTTTTTTAATTAAAATAAACGCTTTGCCCTAAGGGAAAGCCTAACTCCTATTCAGTGAATTCTTTTAATTAGTTTTGAAATTACACTATGCTTACCTATTGCTTTAAAATTCAGAAGCGCAGGATGGGTGTCTGTGGAGAGCAGATACCCGCCGAGCTGAGTCCGTGCGACCAGATGGCGTCGGCAGCCGCGGGGCGTCAGGCTTGGCCTTGGTCGCGGCGAGTGCTGCTCTGCGCCTGCTCCGGCCCTCCAGGGACGCCGGGCACGTCCGCGTTGCTGGAAGGACCCCCGGCCGTGTCTCCCCAGGTCCCCGCGGAGATTTCCCAGGGATCTGGGTGGGAGCAGGGTCCCTGTCGTGTTTCCAGGTCCTGCTCACCCGGAGCTTGGTGCAGTCACAGCCTCCAGCTCCGGAGCGGCTGAGAGATGCCGGGACCGAGGCAGCAAAGAGCGTTCATGGAACAGCAACCAGGCAGGAGAGGAACAGTCTGCTTGCGCCTGCGGACGGGGCACCTTCGTGCCCTGCTCCCCAGCGTGATGGGGCATGGAGGCATCGCTGTCTTCAGGCTCGGTCCTCGGCGCTGTGTGTGAGGTATCCACAGCAGGACTCCTCACATCGTCTTCAGGGTTTATTCTGGGAATTTTTTCCCCGCTGTTTCTGGCAGGGAAGGAGGAAAGCGGTGCTTCCCCAGTGCGTCCAGCGACAGGACAAGGGGCAACGGGCACAAACTGAAGCAGAGGAAGCTCCAGCTGAACCCGAGGAAGAACTTCTTCCCTCTGAGGGTGATGGAGCCCTGGCCCAGGCTGCCCA